GACACAATTTGTGTGTGTGTGTGTGTGTGTGTGTGTGTGTGTATACAGTCAAACCAAAATGTATTCACACACCATTATAACATTTCTCACATTATCACAGTTTATTCACTATAGTTTAGAAAATGGTAATAAAAGATGACAAGAGCTTAGAGTTAAACTGTGTCAGAACAAATTAATCTTGCTAATGTCAGATAACTTCAATAGAAAGTTATGTAATGAATTAGGTTGAATAGCTGTCAGCTGTTAAATTTAAGTACACAATTATATAATACCAATTACCAAGCAATGCTTCATTCAATGAAAGAAAAACACTTAAGCAAAACATGGTCAGTTCAAAGTGTCTGAATAATTTTTGGTCCCAAATTTTTATCAATTTTACTTGTAGTCCACTGTATGAAGAATTTTTGGGTATAATATGTCAGTTTCCTATCCTCACTTACATAAATGAACTAAAGTGTCCTGCACCCACTAGTAAAAAAATATCAAAAATTATATCTGGTGTCTGAATAATTTCTGGTTTGACGGTATGTAGTATGTACAATAGCATATTTTGTATTCACAGAAAAAAAAAGCAGGACTCTTTTGTTAGGGTTATGGTGTGTGGTGTGGTAAAGTTATATAATGTTTAACTATATGTAAAAACAATAGAAGTCCATGCATTGTCCTCATTTAGATAGCTAAGTAAATGTGTGTGTGCGCATTTGTACATATGTATTAGATATGTTATTCAGTAAGGACTCATTAAATTGATCAAAAGTAAATACATTTATGTTTAAAAAAGATTTCTTTTTCAAATACAATGCTGTTCTTTTGAACTTTAATTGTCAAAGAATTCAGAAAAAAAAAAAAAAAAAAAAAAAAGAAATATTTCTCGAGCAGCAAATAGAAGAATGTTTCTACCTTTGTTCCCTATGCAACTAATGCAACTAAACTATTTAAAGATGTTTTATAAAATCTGTGTGAAAGTTCAAAGATTGTTTGCCATTCTTCCAGCACCTCTGAGGACGTCTTGTATGTTTTGAGAAGCAGCGCAGCCCGTGTTTCCAGGAACGTCCACAGCTTGATTTCGTTCTCCCAGCTGACAGGGAATTCAGTGTTGCCCAGGGTGAAGATCTTGTTGATGGCGTGATCGCCCACCAGGTAGTCCCTGAGTTCCTCTGCAATCAGAAACGCACACCTCTCTGGTTAAGGGAGTAATCTGCCGTGCTAGTGAGCCGGCAGGTCTGATCTGCGGCGATTATGTAAGGTATGATTACACGGCTGCTAACGAGATGAAAGGGCTTGCTGAACGACTACTTTGCTCGTGCACACCACTGAATTCTTTCACACCAGTAAAATAGAAGCCCCCAGCACAGGGGCTTCGCTTTGTTTAAAAATTAACATAACAATTCTGAATAATGTTTCAGCTCAGACTTAAGAGGACATGGCCTTGCTAAATGGGATTTATGACAAAAACTTCTACATAGATGCTTATAAATATTTCACAGACTCTGGATCAGTCCTTTCACACATCTGCCGCACTGTCTTGATCAATTAAACACCTCAGGGACTCTTGTTTAGGCTTTGTTGTCCTGTCTAGTTTAGTGTAAGGATGTGATATGGAATAAGGCATCTCACTTCCTGTTTTATGGCTCACAGATGGCCACTGGTGTACCTTAGTGCCATGCTTGAAGGTATTCAGGACAAACAAAAATTCTTACCTTCAGTCATGCAGAAGACACGGAGGAAGGCCAGGAGCTGAGCGGATATGGGAGGCTCGCTGCAGTACAGTGCAAAGATACTGGACCTGAGGAAGAGAAGGACCGGAGAGGGTTCAAAGCAGGGTGTTACT